CGGTGTAAACACCTCCCCCCCCCCCCCCCCCCCCCCACACTTCTCCCCTGACTTGAATTTTAGGCAGAACTCGTTTGATCTGTTTATTTCCAAATCTTTCTTCTTTCACTGGAGCAGGCTCCAAACAAACTTAGTAGAGTCTACGTCTAGCTCTGACTTTTGCATAGTGATTTCCAGATATGCTTTCCATCTGGCAGTAGCTGTATGAAGTAGCCTGTAGTTACTTAAAATCTTATGTTGCTTATCACTACTGGATAAAGCTGTTTATATTAAAAAAAAAAAAAAAAAAAGGGAGGGGGACTATTAGCTTCTTTTTGTATGCTCTTGAATCGTGACCTTCTAGGTTCACTTTGAATAGTTCATAATGTATTGAATCATTACCCCTAAAATACACTGGGCACGTCTCGGATGATTGATTTATAGAATCTGAAAAAATTTAAAGGAAGCAAGATGTTAGTTTAAAAATAAAGTGTGACTTTGTTCTTCAGTTCTTTCTTTTTTTTTTTTAATCTCTGCGCTAAAATATACTCTATTTTAATCTGATTCCTCAGTGTTCTTGTAGTATGTTATTTTTAATTGCAGAAAATCTGTGTTTTTGACTTGCAGATGCTTGGTAGTTAGTTTAGGAGCACACATCCTCGGGTCCTGAGATCTGTTTTCCAGCCCTTCTGAGACAAGTGAGCTGTGGTTCATGATGTACTTAGCGAATAGCTTTAGAGGTTAGCCCCTGTGTCCCCACTTTGACATGCTGTTGTATGCAGCAGGGAGTTCAGGATACTCATGCAGACCATAAGTCTATCAGTAGGCACCAAATCACTGCATATCATGAGGATTTTTTTGGTCACCTATAGACATGAACAAAAGCAGCGAATGCATATCATAGACGCCTAAAGTCATTCTTAAATCTTTTTTCTACACAGAGCTCAACAAAAATCCAGTGGAAGGCTTTTCAGCGGGCTTAATAGATGACAATGATCTTTATCGATGGGAAGTCCTTATTATTGGTCCTCCAGATACATTATAGTAAGTACTGCTACTTGTACAGAAACTTAAGCAAACTCTGATTTACTAGTTCTAGTTTGGTCCAAGTGAGTAGAAATTAACCAAAGTCTCCATACTGACTGGTTTATAGATAACTAAGTTAGGTAATACTGTTCTGTTGCTAGTAAAGTATCTGTATAATAGTTGAATTTGCTATGTAGAAGTTCTAAACTGCTTTGCTACCCTGGGACAAAATGCAACTCTGATCCCTTAGTCTACTACTGTAGACAAGGGAAAGAACTGGGTATACCAGGAGGTAGCTTCTGTTTTCTATGCGTTTAAGGCAAGTGTACTCGCACTGCTATCCAATTATTGCTGTGAGGTTCTAGGTAAGTCACTAGTACAAATTTAAACCTTTCCAACTTAGTGCTGGCAATTACAGGAAAATACTCAACGGAGTTATAGCTGTAAAGCTGCAGCAGGCTATAAAATTAGCCTCAAGTCCCATCTGTTCAAGATGTATCAGCCTCCATAATTCCACTGATAACTCTGCTCACTGAAGGAGAGCTTTCCCATGAGACCAAGGGTATGTTGATCAAACTTGAATTGTTGGGAAGCCTTGCACAGTGGCCTTCAAAAAGCTTTCACTTAATAGATCCTAACTCTTTTCTTGCTCCCCTGGACTCGGATCTCTGATTTATATTTGAACCCAAAACCATGAAGTTCATACAGTCGCTTCTCTTCCTGGACTTCAAGTTGGCTGTGTCTATGCAGCTATATATTTTTGAAGCGCTGTGGTACATGCAGTGTGGTTTGTCTCTTTATGGGGAGTGGGAGAAGGCTTTGGTTCACTGAGAGAATGATTTGCCTCTTTCTCATAGAGGTTATATATGATCATCTATCCTAGCTCCTGGGAAAGGTTTTATGCCTAGAAGAGGCAGAGGAGAGGTCAGTTTAAAGTGTGCCTCTTAAAGATGAACTCTGTTCTCTTTCATTAAGCTGTTCCAGTGGTAAATTACTGATAATATAAAGCCTTCTAGTGGCATTTACTTGAGGTTTGCAGGCTTCGAAGTAAGTACCTAAATGCAGTAATCAGATGCTTTGCTTCTCAAGCTCACTACATTGTGCTCCTTGAATCTTCCATGAGACAAATCTCCAACTTCTCAATCAGTTCTGTTAACCTCTCTTGAACAGTCTAGTAGTGAGCCATTATAGTCTCATGGCTGTTTTTATACTCTCATCAAAGACATACTGCTTCTAATCGAGCCTTTTCCTCATACCTGCTACTGCAATTCTTAGGTATATGGGGGTGTGTGGTGTTTTGTATTTGCTTGTTGGGTTTTCCTCCTTCCCCCCCACCCCCAAATAAAAAGGGTGCTGAGCTTGTTTTGAGGCTTTTACATAAGAAGCTGTCTGCTTTTCTTGCCCTTAGTCCCTGCTTTCCAAGATAGTATTACACTGAATCCTTTCTCCCTGATCCTTTTTACTGTGGTAGTAGAACAGAATATTCTAACAGGGAATCAACTTTTTTTTTTTTTTTTAATTTTAGTCTTATTCCTTGTTCCACTTTCTTCCTGAATTTACCTAGAAAGACTTTTGACTTGAATGGCTCTGTTAGGACCAAGGTATTGGGAATGCTGCTTAAAAATGTCACTGACATCTCTTGACAACTGCACTTTAGGTACTAATGTGTATCCAGTTACAGATCTGTGTTTATGTGCAGTTGTCAAATGATGTGGGGAACCAGGTATGCCATACAACCCAGTAGCTTTATTATCTAGATCTGTTCCTTTAAGAAGGGAAGGAGGAACTTTTTTATTATGAGAAAAGGACTTACTGCTGCAGAGCTATCAACAAATGTAATCTAACTCTCCTTTATCTTGACCAGTACGGCTCTTAAAATAGCCAGTCTTGCTTCTGGAATTCCTAGGCTTCCCAGGAACAAGAATTCTTTGGAAACTGCCTGCCTTTCTGAAATTTTTGGAAAATGAAAGCTCTTGGTTCAGATCCCCTCAGCTGTCCTCTTTTGACTTGGTGTATGTATGGGGTGTGTTGTTTTTTTGGTTGGTTTTTGATGAGACACTTGCTAGAATTGCACATTTTCCTTTGTCATTGGTGGTAATACCTCTGTTACTTTTCTCAGTAGCCTGTGGGCTTTGAGTACTGGTTCCTACTCCATTACAAATACCGAAAAGATAAATGCACTGAACAGCTTTCTTTCCTACACCAATTCTTTTGTGCATGTAGCCACTGAGGAGTGCCTTGTCACACTACACCACATCTCTCACTGCATTCTTCAGTGGTTATGTTCCAGTTCTCATAATCTCTGCTGTTGCAATTGCAAACTTGGTTATAAACTTCAGTTACAAGAAATGACAACGATAGGGCAAATGTTATAAGGCTTTCTTTGTAATACAGGCCTTCTCACTTCTCAAGCCAATGTTCCTGGATGTCAAAACCTCACTAATTTAAATGTCAGTTGCCTCAATTAAGTATGTAGCTCCCACATGAGAACTGGATATCCAGTTGTTTACTATTGTTCTCCAGCTTAGTGGTAACTGCAGTGCAGAACATCTCGCTGTCATGTCTGAGTCCATCTAGCGAAGTGTTGAAAAGGTAGTAATGGCAGTTTTTAAAAAGTAGTGCTAGACATGCAAAGAAAGCTTACTATAAATCTTTTTGTTGAGGCTTGCTGTTACAGACTGATATCAAGAGAAGAGGACTAATTAAGGTGTCTTAAAGGAAGAATACAAGGAGGTATCTGCCAGGCTGTACTTTAGTCTTGATAAGGGGAGTTATTGGCAGCACCTTTACTTTTTTTTTTTTAACTTATTGTAATAAATGCAGTGGGGGAAAAAATAACTCAAGTTGTAATTCCAGATGGTGGATTCCACTTTTGGAATTTACTTTTGCTCTGGAACATCCTCCTAATTCTAAAAAAAGAAGCAAGCATTAGGGAACTGGCATAGAAACGTCTTGTTGCATATGAAAATGTTGGTACTGTTAATTACCAACATGGTGTTAAGCTGTATGAAGGGTAAACTTGAAGATGTTGATGCATCATTAAGTTCCAGTCTTCAACTTAAGCTTACAAGAAACTCTACTAAGATATTTTTGATTCCCCAGTGAAGGTGGTGTTTTCAAGGCTCATCTTACTTTTCCGAAAGACTATCCACTGAGGCCGCCAAAAATGAAGTTCATCACAGAAATCTGGCACCCAAATGGTAAGAAATGCCAAAGTTCTGATTTCTTTTGCAACTAAGAAATGTGGTAATATAAGAACTTCTGCATTTATTTTCGGGCCAGAAATATGAAACTCTGCATTTACTTTGTCTTCACCTCAAAAAGTAGTAGTAATCATTGCAGAGTTTTAAACTCTGCTCCGAGAGACTACTCCTAAAGTATTTTCACTAGCTTTCTGAATTCTTGATAACTGTATAGGTTTTTTCTATATATGTAATGCAAAATTCTGATCTGAGGAGAAACTTGGTTTTGTGGTTTTTTTTTTTTTTAAATAGCTGCCATTTGTCATACCATTAAGTACTTCATTTTACTGTATTACTGACTTGGTGGTTTGGTATAGAAGGCCCAGGTTTGTCCTCCTGTGAAGCATGAAGTAACAGCATCTTTTCAGCCCCTCTGAAAGATGTTTCCTGTTAAAGTTTCGTTTACCTTCCCACCTATGTCCAGCAGCCCAGAAATAATGTAAAACAAAGAGCGTTTTTACTGGAAAAGAGGAATGCTCTTCAGGTTCTAAAGTCAGCGTCTTGACTTTCCAGGACTTCCCTGGAAAGCTGGGAAGAGACCAGCACAGTGCTCTGATCTTAAAGAACAGAGCCTACTCTGATACTGTGTCAGTTCAACTCTAGAAATACCAGAATACCTATCAGGCAGATTCCAGTTCCAGCAACTTAAATTATATTCTCGTGTACTGCAGTAATACCCAGCTGATGCTTTTGCTGTGGGAGGAAAGAAGGTCCCTTTCTGATTTGCTAAACTGGAAAAGGTCACCTTCTGGTTTGCTGATCTTACCAGAAAAATGCTGTCATGGAAACCCATCTAAATAGTCTTGCAAGTTGTAATCTGGTGTTAGAAGTTTCTTGCCTGCCTCCCCGAAAAGTCTAGGTCAGAATAACTCTCCAAGCCGCACTTCTTGGAGATAGAGTTCTATAACAATTAATTAGTTTCCTTTTTCATAAAGTTTCTTCACCGGCTTGTTTTGAGACTAGCTGGAGTGAAGGTTAACAGTTCCATAACTAGCCTGAAGAAATGCCAACATGTTGTTCATTACTGAAATATGTCTTGTTCTATTTTGTAGTTGACAAGAATGGTGATGTCTGCATTTCAATTCTTCATGAGCCTGGAGAAGATAAATATGGCTATGAAAAACCTGAGGAACGCTGGCTCCCCATTCACACAGTGGAAACTATAATGATTAGTGTAATTTCTATGCTGGCGGATCCCAATGGTGATTCTCCTGCTAATGTTGATGCAGCGGTAAGGTTTTTCTTGGTCTGCAATAGAAAGCTAAACTCCTCGCTGTGGAGTTTTGCTTCTGGTATGACAAACAGCGTAGTAATTTTTTTTTTTTGGAAGAATCTTTTATAACTAAGCCAGCGCTACCTTATTACTGAGAAAAGCACATGTGCTGTGAAACATAATTGCTACTTAGTCCTTACAACTAATGAAGCACACTGTTAAATTTCTTTCATATAGATGACAAGGTAAAGATGCTATCAAACTTCATAGGCAGTCGTTTAATTTCTCCTATGCAGTAATGCATTTCTTTGGAGTAAATTTGTGCTCACAGGGTGGTACCTGGGGGTAAATTTTAGCTCCCTTCATCTTTATTTAAAAAAAAGTCAAGGAAGCTGGCTGTCCAAAATCCTATATGGCTATATACAGCTGCCAGTTCCAACAGCTGTTAAGTTTAATTGCAGAAGTTTCTAAAACCTGTTTTGATTCTCAATATGTTACTTTTCTAGAAATTTCCTAGACAAAACTTTTACTACACTACACAAGATGGTGATTTATTGATTTGAACAGAAGGAGAAAAAGGAATGGGGTGCCTCAGTACAATTGTGTTGTATTTGTCTCTGTAAAGCAGTCCTGCTAAATCTTAGGTTAAAGCTGCAGATTTGGTCTGTGCTTTGAAAATGCAACTGAAAGCTTCATTGAGCATCTAGCCTTTGGCTCTGAAGAAAGCCTTACCCTAGGCTTGCTAAGGAGTGAGGGAGAATGGCATGGATTAGGGTCAGAAAACCAAAGCAAATCTGCAGTAAGGACTTCTGTCATTAGGGGGACACTAGTGTTTCATGCAGCATAGTGTTTCTGGAGTGTGGCCTCTGCTGCGAGGTTCTATAAATACAGTTTTTGGTTATCTAAAAGAGCTGCTTTTATAGCAGAATAGCAGTTAGGCTAATAAGTGTTTGTGGTGGGGAAAGAAGAATTCTCACTGCTGAGATGTGCTAACTTTCATTTAGATTACTATTGGCATACAGGTCAACAAAGACTAACACATGCAATATCGTGAAAGAGAAGTTTAGGGGTTTTATTTTAGGTTTTTTCTTTTTTTGTGTTTTTTTTTAATGGCATTGTGAGAATGAAGAGAAGGGAGATGGTAGTTGGAAGGTGTGAGGATTTCTAGAAGCGTGTGAACTGCTTTGTGAACTAGCCTAACTTTCCTAAAGTAGGCAGGAGTTTAGTTTCCTGAAGCCTTCGATCTGCAATGTTGATAGTACTTCCAAAGGTCATTGAGCTCATCTGAAAAATAATGGTGGAAACAGTTGTATGTGAAACAAACATAGTGGAGGAGAAGGGGGAACTAAGTTGTAGTGAAGAAGTCCTCATCTAACTTTCTTGTGAGTGTTGGACCTCCCCTTCTTGTGTCATGTTACTGGTGGAAACAAATATCCAGGACATGTGAGTGTTTCCTCCTGGCAAGCCTGAGAATACTGGAAGAAGCAAACAATTAATGAAATGCTAAAAGTACAGTTAGAATTTCTCCGTTTGCAAACTCATGTATGTTGAATGTTGCTGACCAATACTGGAGAAAAGCTTATATTTTTAGCTTTGCTTATCACCCTCTTGGCATCATATCTTTTGCAGTCTTTTCCTGTATTGTACCTCTACTCTGTCAACTATTCCAGGGGTGACTTTCCCTCTGTGTGACAGATGTTAGAGCTAAAGCTATACATGTTAAAGGAGTCATAAGTTTATCCACTGGTGAGTAGGTCTCTGAGCCTTACGGTGAAAGTTGAAAAAGTCTAAAGGAGACGCAGCATTCCCTACCCCACCTTGAAGGAACAAGAATTTAAATCCATCTCTGACTACGAAGACAGTATTAAGGCATCAGTGGTGGAATGGATGCTAGTGACCACAGCAATAAGAGCTGGGGGGAAAAATACCCGCTTGTTAGCGCTCCAACAGGCATTGTTCAGTTTTCTGTCTCTTGGAGTGGGGAAAAATACAAGGGACAGGAGCCTGAACAAACACCGCCAGAGGCGAATAGAACAGTTCACTCACTACCTGAGTTTTGGAGAGGTTGCTGTCAAATAGGGAATGTCACTTGCAATTTCATTTTGAACGCTTAGATTTGTAGCTCTGTGAAACAAAGGACGTATCTGAAGCTAGGAAGGCGTTAATTCAAAGCTTTTCTTGGCCTTAAGCCCTCTTGTGTAAGCTGCCCTGTGTCTCCATCCAACGAACTGAATGCTTGCTGTATTAATTGCTGGAAGAGGAGAACAAATTAGTTAGTAGCCTTGTTTTGTGCTTTTGCTAGAAAAACAAGACCTGTTGGGCTTGTCAAGATACTGACTGTGGCTGGGTGAGCTTTGAGGTGGTGAACGTTAGGATGTCTCAACTATCACTATCTTCTGTCGCTCAAATGTGCTATAACCTTCACCCCACACGGGATGAAAAAGTGTTGTCTGCTATGTTAATTCAGGAAAAAAGTGCAAGTATTGCTTATACCAAAAACTAACATCTCTATAACCTATTCTTGAACAAATGGGTTCTCCCTTTTTTTTTTTTTTTTGGCACTACTTTAGTGTCTCACTGTAAGGTAGCATCCAATACGTCAACCTTAGTCACATTTTGTGATGCTCCTGCACTTTAATCTGAGCTCCTCACGAAGTTGGCACGAAGTCAAAGTTTAAAACTGACTGCACTTCTTCCTGTGGGTTTATGGTGATACTATGGCACATCTCCAGGTTCAGACTTACTGTCTTGCCTATCTTCCTGTTTGTCTTTATCTTTGCTCTTCATCTATGCTGTTGTGAAATTGGGTACCTGTCACAATATGCATGTGGGGGTGGTCTCTGAATATTCTGTTAACATCTTCCTCATGAAGTCAATATCTTGCATCATATCTAAGTAGGAGTGGGGTTTTTTTTTGTGATTTTGGAGGGTGTTTTTTTTTTTTTGAGGACACTATACCTCTTCCAAATACTGTTAAGTTCTACAGCTCTACCCTAGAGTGTGCTGGTTAGATTGAGAGGGCACTGAAACTTGCAGAATAAAAATTGCAGAATAATTACTGGCTCCACAGAAGTTGCAGTGTGCCTTTGTTAATCACTGTAGCTAAAGTTAGCTTTTTATAACCTGTATGAATAGGTTCTAGTCTGTTGCTTCTAGAGCAAGCTGAAATAAATGGATTTCAGCTTTGACATTATGAACTGCTTGTAACCACCAGGTTAGTCCTGAAGAATGCCAAAGGCGGTTAGGCCAGGTCTTCACTGTTTTTTGGGCAACATGAACAGAAGCCCAGAGTGATCTCTCCTTCAAAGCCCTGAATGTCACAGGTATTTAGTGAATAGCTCAATGGCTGTAAACAAATTTAAGTGTTGATTGGATGACTGATATCTAGAAACATAAACACCAAGTTTCTTCCTGGAATTTGTACCTTGTTATGACACTGACATCTCAAAGCTGTCTATTCAATTGCAGAAAGAATGGAGAGAAGACAGAAATGGAGAATTCAAAAGAAAAGTTGCCCGCTGTGTAAGAAAAAGCCAAGAAACTGCTTTTGAGTGACACTTATTCAGCAGCTAGTAGCTTCACTTTTTTCAGGGTAAGTATCCCTCTAAAGTAGAGTCAGTCCTCTGAGTAGAGGGTTTTCTGGATTAGCAAGCGTTGCTGAGCTCAGTGTGTGGCATTTTTTGTTTGGTTAGTTTTTTTTAACAGCAAAAAAAAATTTCTTCTCACCAGCTTGGTTTCAGTGGAGTTCTTTGGCTATATTTTATACTAAAAACTTCATGGTTAAGAAAATACTTAAACTTTGCAGTGCACTAACAGCCCCCTCTGCCTACACTGGGGAACTTCACTAGTACCCTTCACCAGTACACTTCAACTATTCAGAAGCTGAAGTTCTCTTTAGCAGTATTCATTCTGCTTTATTAAGTGCTTAGGGACTTCTAGGGCTATAAAAGAAGGGAATACTCATTTCTTCATGTTCATTATTGTAAAGGCTACTTGTTTGAATCTTAGAAGCATCTTGTTTGTCTTATTTCAAGTTCAGACACATGCAATTTCTCTCTTGCAGATATTGGTGGCATGTTGCTTGTAGGCTTTATCTGAGGTTTTGGTGTAGTTGTTGAGAAGCTTTTTAGAAAGGATTGCTTCAAGGATCCATGGGACTTTTTCCTTTAAAAACAAAGGAAAAAAACCCTGCTAGGATATAAAAGAAGACTAATATGGCACTCCCATAATGTAATGGGGATGCACTGTACAAACTGCTAAAACAGCTTACTAAATGCTCCTGCTAGTTACTTTTTCCTATCTTCTTTCTTCACCAGAGTGGTATAGGAGATGCTTCCTCTATCTCCTATACTCTTGTAAGAATTAGTTCTGTCTGAAAAAAGGTTTATTTGTGACAGACTAGTATTGCAGTATCTCTTGTCTGAAGGAATGCTTTGGTTGAAATGAACTTTTTCCAGTATAGAAAAAGCATGAGAAATGCTTAGTATTTACCAAAAAGACCAAACAAAGGAACTGGATCTTACACAACTGTCCAAAACTACAGTGTAAGAATTGTTAGTGCAACTGAAAGTTTCCCTCTCTTAGAGAAAGAGGGAGTAGTTGTGAGAAGTACTTCAGAGTATTCTTGATTGACCTTAATTCTGTTGCCATATTAAAGTTGGCCATAGTGAAAGCATGTTCATGACCAATACTAGGTATTGGTTTCTGGAAGGCAAAGTCTTTGCAAAGTCTTGGTGACCCCTCCAAAGTAAGGGATGTGTGACCAGTTGGACAAGAAGGGGGCCATATAGTGGTTTCCAACAAATAAGCACGGTCTGCTTTGGTAGCTGTGGCATTCAACAAAGCACTGCTGTGTCATTTTGTACTGTACTTTGCTGTTGAATCAGCATCTATCATTAACAATAAATGTTGTATAAAAACTTTCAGTGGTAAGTCCTCAAGTGTTTTGCACTAAGCAGGAGTAATGAAAACTTTATACACCGCACTTGACAAGCGACTCAAAGTGATAGGAGCTCAGAAGTGTGATAGTTGGGCTCAGATAAGCAGTGTGCTGAACCAACTCAAATCTCTCTCAGGTGATGATTTTGGATTTTATGCATCTTCTTTTTAGAGGTATGTCAAGTTCCCAACGAGCATCAAATATCTTTCTTGACCTAGAAACACAATTTAAGATCTTAGAATCGTTAAGGATCGTGAGGGGCTTTATTTTAATACATTTGATTTCTTTGTAGGTCTTCAATTGAGAAACATGGCACTGTTTTTTTTCCTGCACTCTACCCACCTATTGCTGGACTTCTGTTGTTACAAGTTGGCAAACACTGGCTGGAACTGGGCTGCAATAAAACATGCCAGTTATCAATGCTGACAAGAGCCTAACAAGTGCCAACACAAGATGATTACGCATTTTGAAATCTAATGAACTGCTTTAACCTTCAGGAAGAATTGTAAAGATGTGTACATAGCACAACATGATCCGGATAATATATATACTGTTCATGTACATCCACAAATACACATTGTACCAAATAATGCTGTCTGTAGTTAGCATAAGAATCGTGTAAATTCTAAAGATTTTAGCAGGTTTTTCTCTCCCTGTTCATTGTTTCCTATTGGTTAAAACAAAAACAAAACAAAAACAAAAAAAAACAAACTTGTGAAGCATGTCAAACTAAAACCAATTAGGATAAAGACTTTTTTCCACTTAATTTTCCTTTGACCCACTGAGGCTTAATTAAAATCTCTTGCTTATTAAAGTTTAGTATCTCTTTTTTGGTTTTTGGAAATGTGCTCCCTTTTATCCCTCATCAGAATTTAAGATTTCCCTAATTAAACCCTGAAAGGATTTGCTATCAATTACTTGTGTCTTCTTTTACAATGACCTTTGTAGTCTCAAAGGTGCTTTTTTTTCTTTCCCCTCTTTTTTTTTTTTTAAACCCAATTGCACATACTTCTTGAATTGGGTGTAGCAATAAAACTGGCCATGGAGCACCCTTAAGCGGCCTGCTGGGCTTTTGCCTTGCAAAGGACTTGACTGCTTTCATTTGGAAGTTCAGTTGACTAAGTTAGTCCAAGATAGGATGAGCTGCTTTTTCTGGGTGACTTTTTTTTTCCTCCCCTCCCTCTGCCCGCGCGCGCTCTCTCTCTCACCTCTCCCTTGCCTTTTTCATTGCCTGTTTGTGGGGCGGGGTGTGTGGTGGGGGGAGGCTTGTTTTTTTTTCTCAAAGTTGGATTCAAGCATGCACGTCGGTAGGCTTTCAAATGACTAATTTCTGGGTTTGGTATCAAAATAGTTTCCCTCCTTATCCCTTTTCTCTCTTCTGTGGCCCTTCATATTCTTTGCCTTCTACTTCAGAGTTTCCTTACCTAATGTACAAAGAAAATTGCGATGTATATTTTCATGTAATTTGATTTTTGGAATTCTGTCACCTTCTGTAGTGAGTTCTTCCAAAATATAATTTTTTCCAATAATGTTGTGTCAACCTGGCTGTTTTCAGTATCTTAAATAGAAAGGGGGAATTGCAGTTAGAGCACAACTTACCCGAACGCCTACGTGGACCTAAAACTCAGCAAACACTTGTTAGACTTGACATTGTATTTAATCTTGAGGTAACAATTAAAGTAACCCTTTCTTTCTCTTTTGATTGTTTCCCACGGACAAATCCTGATCTCGGAGTACCTAGGCTTGGAAACCAGTTACTATCTGCAATAACTTTCTACCAAAGAAACTTGCAGAGGAACCTCAAACTACCTGGCTGCTCTCTGCTCCATCAGAGATGGGTTTTATTACAGCCTTTTGCAGCACAGACAGAGTCACTGACTAATAAATCAAGAGGTTTTAGTGTCATTAAAAGTCATCTTGTAGCAACCTTTCAGTACTAATTTGCTAGCAGGCTATACTCTGTTTTAGGTCATTATGCAATATACATACACCAAAAAGGTATATAGCAGGTTTCATGAGGGGTTAGGTAGAGTGGAAGATAGAAAGACTTGTTAGTGGCAAGGCAGGCATAGGGGATTTAAAAAAAAAAAAAAAAGCCATTTAGGTATACTAAAGAAGACACCTACGAGTGAAGTCATTGTTTTCTCCTGCAGTGGCTTTGGATAAACATAGATGTGTTTAATACTCATATTTGCCTACTTGGTAACTAAGTATTTTGAGAAAACATTAGTTAAATTTGATTTTAATTGCATGGCTTCCTTCCTTAGGCAGGCAGATGTATGCAGTACTTCAGAGCTATCTGGGCCTGGACACAATAGCTGATTTTTAGTTCCCATTTGACTTGTCTAAAATTGCTCGAGAGGAGGCTTCCTGCCAGCCAGCTGGCTACCATTTCATTTTTGTATTTATTTAAGACTTGGGACTGGGGTGCCACCCTTTCCCTAAGTATCAGGAAGATGCTCCTGTTACTAAATTTAGTAATGGCCTCGTTTCCCTGCTGGCCTCGTTTCCATTGAGTACCCAAAGAACTGGCAGCAATTGAAAATAACTGATACTTGCTGCTTTAAGCAGGTTGAAAAGTATTCTGTGTTTTCTTGCAAACTAACAAATACATACAGTCCACATCTGACTCATCTGTAAAATTCATAGCTTAAATCTTACTCTCTTAATTTGCTCTGCAAAAGAAGTACTTTTGGTTTTGTTTTTAAAGGGGTAGGCCTGGAAGTTTTAATCTTGCCTCAGTTGTATGGAAGAATTGTTAATCCCATAGCAGTGTTGGTCCCCACTTTGCAAATATAAAACTACTTCTGGTTTGCTTACCCAGATGGTTATGATTCTGCACAGCCTGGATAGTCCAAAGGAAGAAGCATTACTGTGAGATAGTGTTAAGGTACATGAGCTGCAGGTTTGACTAATATTCGATAATTTAATTAAGAAGGTATCTAAGATTCTGGTGCCAAGTGTTCAGCTTGTTACAAATTTCTGGTAGGAGCAGAAATGGCCTACTTAACTTGGCTGCGATCACACTTGGGTTTTCGTTTGTTCTCAGCCCACATGTGTGAGGGCACAGCCATAGCAAGATACTTAGTGATATGAGAGCAGAAATTTCTGCTTAATGACCTCAAGATATGCACACCACTGAAGAGATACACTGATATAAGTAGTACTAGCGTACTTGTGGAACAATCAAGTAAACCAGCGTTCTTGTTCCAAGATCTTGCATCTTGTTTTTATGTAGATTGTCCGCATACTGGTTTTTTTACTTATCTGGAGACTCACAGTTATGGGTGAGTTGTTCTGTTGTTTTTTTCCCCCCCAATGCCTTGCAGTCTGCTTTCCAGATAACGCTGCATCACTGGGAGAAAAAAAGGAAGGGAAAGCATGGAATCTTAATTAATATCAAAATAGGATAGTCATCTCAATTTCTTTTTCATACTTCTCCGTGCTGCACCTTACACATCAGAGAAGTTCTTTGTAAAAAACAATAAGGCTATTAAGCTGTCATTCTAAAACTCTTTCCTGCTGTGATGCCTAGAAAATGCTTATTGAAACTAGAAGTTCAATAAATGGAGAACATTAATTCTGAAGTGATTATAAGTGTATTTTGTTATAGTCATTCTATTTGTAGGCTTTGGGGGATGGACTTTTTATTGTCAGTACCATCTGGTACGCTATTGCTGGTATGGTGCCATCACAACGCCAGCAGCGCAACGCTGCGAATCTTATAATTTCTTCGTATCTTCAGAAGCACATACTAGTGATTTCAAACCAAAACAAAAGGAACTTGGGTTTTAAAGAGAGGTGGTGATAAAATTGTTTCTCTCCCTGTCGGATTCTCAACAGAAATGACAAGACTGCCGATTCCCCAGACGGAAAACATGGCAGAAATTTTAAAACCCTACTCTGTGGCTACTAAGAAGTTTAATATAAGACCAAACCTGACCAAGCAGTAGCAAGCACTTCCTCACAATGACTCAAGATAATGGGTGGCACCCATAAGGAACGGTGTACATGTTAGTTATGTAGCAAAGCTGTGGGAAATGGGACCGGTATGTGTCATGATTTGTCTAGAAATCACACAAAAGTCTGTGGCTCTCCTAGGTCTATGCCCAATTCTAGTTTCACTGCTTTGTCTAAAAAAGGGAGAAAATTTAAGATAAGAAACAGAGCAACTTTGCAAAGGTCACTTAATAATGAAGTCCGGAGAAAATTATGAATTTGCAACACTGTGGACAACCTGTTAAAACCCTGCAATTGGATCAAGCAAACAAAAGCTGCCGGATACGTGTCAAACATTGCGATGTTGCTCTTGTGCACGGGCAGGAACGAGCGGGAGCACCGCAAACGGTCGAGGCCGAGCGGCGCTGTTCACGCGGCGGCAGAAAATGTCACTTCCTCTCCCGACTGGCTCTCTCCAGGGCTGCAGCCCCTGCAACCGGAGCGATACCTACAGGAATTGAAACGGTGATGACAGTAAAGATAAGGTGACCTCAAGGCACTGAAAACCCCGCTGACGCCTCCCGCTGCTGCCAGGGACGCGGCGAGGCGCGCTGGGGCCTCCCGAGGCCCGCTCGCGGCGCAGGCGGGGGGGCCGCGGGG